ATCTGAGTCATAGGCTTGGGGGTCGGGAACAAAGTCAGTCTTGTCGTCTGGGTCGTAAATTTTTATGTTATTGATATCGTCTCGTTTGCGAAGGGCTGTGTTACAAATGTGCCAGTCCAAGTCAAAGGGTATGAAGCAATGATGAATGTATTTTCGCGAAAAGGGCTGAGGCCAGCGATGGGGTGATTGTCCGCCAAAATGGCCATCTTCACGGACCACGACTTTCCCATCGTCGATGAATGGAAATTGCGGGACATAATCTGCATTCGGTGAGATTATGATGCAATTGCCGAACTGCATTACGGCACCAACACGCGCATCCAGAGGCCAAAGACCTTCATGGTGGCCTATCAGTAATATCAGTATCTGCATGAATGTTGCTTTGAATGACATGACTATACTTACTCAGCTCTTTGGCATTGTTCAAGATTCGTTGTGGAATAGAAAAGTCTTGTTCAGTGGGACCTGGAGGCAGAGTAAAAGGGGGAGTAACCGAGGAACCACTCATGGTGCTTGGGGTGCCCAGCATTAGCGTTGAATTTTGGGTTGATGTCTTTTCCGGGAGCAAACAATCTCAAGGCAAGTAAATTTACTGAAAAGCTGAGCGACTAACGCCACTAAGCAAACATTTACTGTAATTCGATGAGGTAAAGCACGAAGCTGCACCTCGCCTAAGACTGTATCGTGGTACCAGAAACGGATGTTGTGATGTCTAAGTCGCTAAGTCTACAATTTGAATTTCGTTGCACTTGTCCCGTGACTCACGTAACGGTTTCCTAAACGGTTCCTCATTTTCCCATATCCCCTATCGTCTCTTATCATCTCCCACCTACACCTCCACCACCTCCACCATCCCGACCCCTCTCTATGAGAAGCGCTAACCTTGCATCGATCCCCCGGTGTTCCATACTCTGGTTTACCTCCTGCCAAATACCACAATTCGGACTCCTGCCCTTTGCAGGCACTGTATGTGAATGTCGTCCGTTATGACTTTATGCGGTGGTAATTTTGAGCTGCAATGGAGCTGTTTAAAATTGTAAGTATCCAACCAAATACTGCTATTCTTCCTGATTTCCTAATCCCTCTTTACTTGCATAAGCAGATCTTCAACCAGCCATGACAGCCTTGCTTTCATGGCCTGTCCTTCCATTGGCAGCTTCGTGCATCTGATGGATTTGGACTCGACGTTCAATCAATTTTGCCGTCCTTCGTTCGAGTCCTGTTTGTTGTCAGGCGGGACGGCTCAGGTTACTTGTTGCCTGGCCTCGCCGTTGATCAGCCTCAAGCGTCTTGCCACATGTCCTACGTGCACAGCTCTGATGGTACATGACCTGACGTACGGCCGGGTGCACAAAATCAGCATCGTCAATTGTCTTTTTGTGCTAGTCGTGTCGACAGTCATTGTCTGGAAAGGAGTGGAGGATATCTCTTATTTTACATGTCCTACATGCACAGCTTGCAGAGTTCTGATGGTTCATGACCCGGTGTATACTCACATGTGCAAAACTAGCATTGTCAATCGTCTTATGAAGCTGGGTTGTGTCAGCAATGTTGGATTTGTTCTAGAAAGGAGTGGGGGAAATCTTGGCAGAATTTAAGACAAACTTTGTGAGTCGTACAGCTGGCAGACGCGGTCTTTGGCATCATGTAGCGATGGCTTGTAAAAAGATCTTCCATTAGTAATCACCCTAGTGTCTTTGTAATACTATCTGCCGCTTCATTAGCCAAGTTGCATCAATCTGTGTTACGGTCGTGCTGCATTTTGTTTATCTGCCTATGTATCACTGTGAGGGAAGTGGCTGCACAGCAGCTTTTCCTTCAGTTGGCTCCCGGACTAGACACGAACAACAATGCCTGTTTGTTGCGAATTCCACAAAACAACTCAATAACAATGCTTGGACACGAATGCAGGAAAGAAAACGGGCGAGGATCAAAGTGGGCCAAGCTATGCCAAGGGTAATAGTGCCTGCAGTGAGTAGTTCTAATCTCTGGCTTGAACACAATCCTCAGATATATGAAGGAAATGCCACCCCCTGAGACATATAGTCTGCAGAGGGATGAATTCACTGAATCACTACAGGCATGGGATACAGAGCCTAGTAAGGAAGAGTGCCCTTCTCCACAGCCAATCCTCTCAGCAGCAGGTTGTCCTGTTTGTCCATGTATTCTCCCAAAGCACTTCAGACAATTATCACCACTGAGAAATAATTTATGAATTGACCCGGAAGACAAGGATCCGGCAACGGTTGAAGCACTGGATGAAGAAGAGGAATCTCCAGGTCTCAAGTTCGAAATTATACATACACAGCATAACAAATTCTGCATCCATAGGGTTATTTGATGGCCTAAAATTCTGTTGGACAACTGTCAGCACAAACATCCTTCTGTAGAAGACCCTAATGTCTATACACTGCTTCCAAACCAAAGCACTTACCTGCTATTCTATTGGTTTTGGTCCTCATCACATACCAAGTCATTTGTAGACTTGCTTAGACTTCAAGAGATAACACAAGACAGTCAATGGTAGTGGGAGGACTTTGCAAATGCCAATTTACATCCACTTAATAGAGTGCTAGTTGATGGTACACTTGACAATGATTGATGGGTGGAAACTTCAGTACTACTGTCAGTCCCTATTGGACATCTTCATCCTGATGTTCCTAGGGCAGTAATGTATGAAGTAAAAGGTCTGCATTACTGTCTATTAATAAGCATTATACAATTGGTATTCTACAGTTCCCAGTTAAGCAAAGGCTTTTGCTATGAGTTGTATAAGCTTTAGTATACTCTGTTGAGTGCTAATGAAGATATTGTGGTACACAGGGAGCTATTTTGGTCATCATTATTCCAGAATGTACATGATAAGGTGTAGTATGTACCCTAGGCTAATAGTGATTCAATTCCTCACACAGTGGCTGTAATGCAACTGTGGTTGGATAGTATGTTAGTAACAAAGTTTGGGAGTGCTAAGTTATAACCTATCTACCTACAGTTCAGAAATCAATCAAAATATAGAAGGTCATGTGCTAGATCTGGCACAATCCATTCAATTACATTCATTCCCTCAGTATGTACACTAAACACTAACATTACTCTACTGAGTTACTAATAAGACTTAGTATATAGTTACCTAGTAATTTCAAGGAATTTGTAGAGCATTATGTAAGGGGAAAAAAACATTAGTAGAACTTGAACTGTATTGTTGACACAAAATCATGTAAGCTGTGTAGCTTACCTTACTGGACAATGAATTTATTAATGTCTGGAAAACTGGAATTGTTGTTTTGTAAAGTGATAGTGTCCTGTATTAATTGTTTCCTTGAATATTAATGTATTTGGCAGATTATCCTGAGAAGTAGGTAATATCCTACTATACTGTTAGTCTGTTTTCATCTTGTTTCAGGGTTCTTTTAGCTACAATAAAATTTTTGGGTAGTTTCCCTTGTCCTTGTTGTCTTATCCTAGCTAGTAAGATATTGTTGTTACTAGGAAAGCTAAGAGATATGTAGTATTGTATCAAATACTAGCAGACTAATAATCCTGACTGGTAGTACAGAGTCAATAAGGTAAGAGAGCTAATTTATATGAGCTGGAAGTAGCTGACACACTTGAGAGTGAAGCTCTATTTAGACCCTCATTTGTTGACTCTAGTTGAGGTCAGTTCAGCTATTCTTTTTATGAGCATTTGTTGAGACTTGGATTTCTGTGTAGAATACATTCTCAAAATGTCTAGGACCTCTAGGCTTTGATTTCCATAATATACTAGTAGTAGACATCTTACACAAATAGGAGGTAGGAGTTTGGAAGACAATTTTCACTCATCTGGTACAGATTATCAATACCTTCAAGGACTGAGATTGCCTTAATGAATTGAATAAACAGTAAGGTTAACTTTTTATTTAGGCTTATCTCTTAATTTATTGTTTTGTTGAAAAGTATTCATAAAGTGCTGGCTTTTGGCTCTAATATAAGAAGTTATAAGAGAAACATTTCTGACATGAAGCAGATGACAGGCTATAACTTTGAGGACCTTCTACAGGTATGAATTAATTGGTATGAGAGCTACAACTATTTACTAACATTGTCCTCAGTGTGCCCTGCTAGTCTTTAATAGTCTGTTCCTACAGCTGTATGAAACAATCATCTGTATTTTAATATATTAGACTGTGAATTTGTATACACTGTGTAAGCTACATCTTTATACAGATGATACTATAGTGGCTTTACACTCTGAAACATGGCAATTTGATGATGTACTACAAAAATTTGCTAGTAATACTTGCCCTGTATTTGCTACTATGGAACTAGCTGCTGAGACACACAGGCATGTGTCTCATATAGTAAAGAAGTGTGGTGGAAATGATACTTAGCAAACAAGAATGTCTGGCTCTGACAGGATAAATACAAATGTAAAGAAGGCCTTTAATACTAACACATCTAAAGTTCATATAGTAGAGCATTATACAAAGCAAATAGTAGAATATAGGACTACTGATTCCTATAGTACAAATATTGTAAGTATTCATTCAATTTCTTACACTGTAATTAATACAAATGCAGGCTTGATACAGGGCAAGTCTGAGCACAAGATGACCAAGGACAGCTATGCTAGAACAAATAGAGTCAATCCTGAGTAACAAATTACACAGATTAACCAATACTAAGTAAACCTTACTTACATTTTAGGGCAAACAATGAATGAAAACAACCATCCTAGAGTAGAAGAGGAGGAGGAGGAGGAGGATGTAGAGTTAGCCCCTAGTGATGTTAGATATTCTATTAGGCAGAGAGGAATTCCAATTAACCTTCCTTAGTAGGAACTTGAGTACTAATTTGATACAACAATACAAGTATACTACTTACATATTCTCTACTTTCTTTTATACTAAACACTTTACTAGGGCTTTAGACAGAGCCTATCCTAACATTTACTGGCCTGATTGAAAGGGATGGATGCCTTAGACAATGAACTTGTCTTTATACAATACAAACACATACAGCTTGTTATCTTGGACAACAAAATGTATAGTCACAAGCAACTTACTATAAATTATACCTTATACAACATGTAATGCTAGCATGAATTAATTAGCCTAACAGGAGCCAAATCTGATATTATGGTTTGAGCAAGTAGAGGTATGGATTGAGAATCAATGTACTAGTATGTATAAGTCATTAGCATCTTCCACTTTGATGTTTATCTCTGTAGAGTGGAAGGATTGTCTCTGAAATGTGTGAACATAATCTGGGTTCAATAGTTTGGTAGGACAGTAGAGGGCAGATTCAGAGACAATACTTGCAACCTTAAACAAGTCAGGTTTATTATACAGGAGGATGGTTCTCCCCTGTTTAGCTTTTTAGATCCTACTACAATTGTGTACACTGTGTATATTATTCCTACATTCTGTTATAGTCAGACTAGAGAGCTCCTTAGAGTATCTTGTCTTACTTGTGTTAAAGAATCTGGTACTGTTGAGGACTGGGAATCCTTCTACATTAATAAGTGCAATTACTTAGGAATTGATAGAGGCAAAGGCTTTACTCAGCTTCAGGTTTACTGATAGGGATTTGTATATGTTATTTTGAGGCAACAGTATAGGTCACAGTAGCTATTTTAGTAATACTGTATCATCTGTACAAGCAGACCTATATGTAAAGTTAGGTGTTTCTAACCAGTTGCTTAACAAATACATTGAGAGTGATTCAGCTTCAGAAGTGGACAAGCTTCAAATAGAGAGACTAGGAGACAAAAGGATAGACTCAGATTCAGATACTGTGAACCAAGATATTGTAACAGACAAAGATAGGGAGAGCATTAATGACTCAGACAGCTCATCCTATTTTGATAAGGACTGAAGGGATTGATTGTTTCCAAGACATGTACAGTACCTGTTAACAAAGAAGATAAATTACTATACTCTTTCTTTAGAGTACTTCTAACTATTTATAGTATAATAAAATTAATCAATCCTTTATAGATTACTGTGTTAGGGCAACTATGATTGATTTTGTAGAGTGAAGGTAAGTCTGGATTTCATAGGTTTGACATCTCTGCTTGAATAGTACACACACTATTTGAATCCTTATTAGTACACATTAGATACTTTTTTTTTGTAAATAACAAGTGTGACCTTCTGTGGGTCTTAATACTGGAGAAGCTATATTGATTCTGATTCAATCCACTACCTAGTGTTTCAAATCTAATCAACATACTCTAGTGTCTTTAATCATGAGTCATGCTTGGCAGCTTGAAATATATCCTTTCTTCTATTTGGATCCCTCTTTTTCTCTCTTTTCATTTCTTAAAGGCTAAAAGTGTTCTGCTACACTGTACTGATAATCTATTATAGCCAAATTCATAGTGGTTCAAAGTAGTGATTGTATCTTTTTAATAATACTGTTAGTGGATCTTGACAGTATGCAAGTTCCTTGAAACAGACAACTAGCTTCCTTTACAGACTGTGATAGGAATTTTTTCAGTCACCTGGATCCTGTGAGTCACAGTTTTGATTCTACTGTCCAGCCCTACTAACATGAGAGTAGCTCTATAGCTTGAATATGTGTTGGTCCAGAGGCATGAGTGAAAGACATTATTGAGAATATTAATAACATAAAGTCTGAATCTCTCTGTAGAGCTACTAGCACCTGTTTGTACCTGTAAGTAATATTGTTTTACAGACTTGGTCAAAAGGCAACCTTATTAATGGAAGTTTGTCACCCAGTTCACAAGATACAGTTGTTAAGGTTGTCTTACAGCCTTGTTCTTCTGAATTTGATGCAAATCTGCTCAATCTTGTAATTAGCCTTCATTTTCAGTACAGACTTTGACTGTAAATACTTATCTAACAGTCTCAGACATGCTTCATCTTCTAATTTCATGCCTGAACAGCTGCCTTTCCCTTCATGTAACAATTTCAGCCCTTACAGCTTCAATCAGTATTACACTGCATTATCCAACTCTCAAAAGTACATGACAATCATTTTATACTACTATTATACACTTTACAAAATTCAATTTTATAGATACCTAATAGATTTTACTTATTTTTTTTATATCTGTAGTAAAATATAAGAACTTACCCATTTCTTTACTAACTAATTGTCCCTGTACACCCTTACTCTAGCATGTGTTGCCTAACAAACCTGGAAAGTATTCTGTAAGTTAATTAATTTGTAAAGGTATTAGTTTTTTACTTACTGTTTTCCTTAACACTAGCTCTGTGAGTGCACTCTGCTGAGTGCTCTGTGGAATCTGTATGGGCAGATTAGACAGCCCAGCTACTAGATAAGTATGCTAGGTTTCACACAAGTTAGGAGTACAAGCAACTAGTACAAAAGTACTAGTGTGTAGTAAAACAGTGCTAGACATTCTTACTTACACTCTATACTCTTCTGTATAGTGTGTTGCTGGCTCACTCAATACAGTAGGACATGAGAGTCTAACACTGTCCCTTACAGGAGCAGAGGGTTGTCAGACAGGCTGGGTAACAGCTAGAGTATGTAGAGGGTCCTAATATACTACTTGAAGGACCTTCTCATACAACTGTATAAGATTAGTAACAAAATATGTTGAATTAGTAATCATGTAACACACCTTTCTTTCTACTAACAATGCTACCCTTTCCCTTGCTAACTTTTCTTCATACTCCCAGTACTGAATGTAGAAAGTAAGTCAAAGAGTAGCCTGTAATATTCACACAAGTTACTCACCTTTTCTTCACACTGTCACAGTGTTACTATACTCTTCCATACTAATGATGGAGAAGTGTCTATCTTTGCCTAATAGACCAGATATGTCCTTTCACCTAATATAGGCATAATCCAGAACAAGATTTCAGTATCAAGGTACTATAAGATGAAAGCAGCTAGTAATCTAGTACACACAGACACAGAGTGTTATATCTGGTTAAGTTTCTTCCTCTATTTTTAGTACAACTCTTTTTCTTACCACCTGTGTCACTTATTGTCTTTTCTAGTAAGCTCACCTAGCCAGCAAATCAGCATATTTGTAGTAACATTCAAGGACCACCATTTAATTCATTCATAGAAGCAAGATTAAGTAACACTCTAAAGTCTACAATTGAATAACTCATAGTATTACAGAATATTGTTACCTTTTCCATGATGGCTGACAATGTATACACATGTGCTAAACACTGCCAGTTGCTCTTCTCATCAACTGCTAGCAAGAGGTCCTCTTTTACTTATATAATCCAGAAATTGACAATCTTCTCATACTAGTCTGTAGAGAGATATGTTATTACATGTTCCCTGAGTTCAGCTACAAACAGTACTTGTGCATTGTTCAGGATACATGTATAGAACACAAGACCCTGACTGAGTTGTTCTACAAGGTTTGTGAGTTTATCAGATTTTACAAAGGTACAAGGTACAACAAGATTTCCTTACTCTAAGCTCCTTCATACAAGCAACAATGTCTGGCCAGTAACAACTTTTCATAGGTGTACAACAATACTTTAATGTTTGCCCTGTGCTAAAGGAAGACTTGATATAGATACAAGTCTACCACCATAATCAAAGGAGCTCAATATTGGCCAATACAACTACTTTGATAGCTGCTTTAAAGACAAGGTTGATTGTGTTGTTTAAGAAAAGTCTAGAATGTTAAAAACATTGGACCTATCTGCCTTGAGTGTTGAGACAGAAGCTTGCAAATCTGCAGAATCATTTGTCATCCGAATCAAAGCTGTAGGTCCTACACAATCAGGTTGTCTACACTCCTAAATGACACAGAGTACATATTATACTTGTTTGTTCTATACTAGGAACATGATCTTGTCAAGTTTTACAGATTGAGTACCTAATGAATCTGTGCAGAACTTGGAAATACTCCTCATGGATTATACAATAAACTAAGGGTTTGGATGTGGTATTTTTGTAGTGAGTACTCTAATATTCATATAATCATGTTTTTACTGACTTCTTGTTAAGGTAATAAAACCCTATCTAATGTGTGCCTGAAGATCACAATACTTAACTCTGTTCTAAAGTTAAACAATGTTCATAGTGTGATAATCTGAGTCTGAGGAAACACTGCTTTTGCTTCCATTAATTACAACACTCTACAACCTATACAAGACAATATTATAGTAGCTTCACTCTATTAAAGAATACATGATAGCAATCTGGCTAAGATAGTACTACTGCTTTTTTCTCCATTTTACACCCAGTTCAATGCAATTTGTCTTAAATATAATTCTTCACATACATCTTATCTCAAACTATTATACATCATTCACATATTCACATAATTTGAAGAAGAAAAAAATATATAGATCCTTACTACATTAATTTATTAGTTTTGAACTAATGTTGTTGAGAGAAAACATACTGTTTCTTCACCTCTTCTCATACCTTTCTTATACTGGATCAGCCCAGTAAACAGACTGTATAATTTCTCTGTCAGTAAGTAAATCAATTTGTAAATAATATCTACTACTTACTTTCTTCTTCCTCAGCACTGATTTATACAGAAAACTCAGGAGAGTACCTGTACAAGGTCTTAGTACAGCCTGCCTTACTGTTACAGGCAGATTGGACAGTCCTACTACTAAGTATGACAGTGGTGGTTCATACAATACAGTGCTACAAGCAGTTAGTATGAATATGCTACTACAAGACAGTCCTGTAACAGTCCCTTATACCTGTACTATATAGTTATTAGTGTAACTAATATTTGTCACACTATGTCCAATAGGACATGATTGTACTGTATTGGCCCTGGAAGCAGGGGCAGACAGACGTGTAGGCTGGGAAGGAGACTGTATAAGTACTAGGTCTCTATGTACTGCCT